TAAAAACAGTAAGAAGGATACTCCAGCTCAACCGACTGGAAATACCAGTCTTCACTTTGTGTAGACTCCCAAGGTTACACCAACAACGTCAAAAGAAGATGGGATTGCCAAAGCACCCGTTGCATCGACTATAACGCATGGCTACACAGCAAAGACTAGTCAGAACCTGATGAAATCTAAAGTGACTGACCCTACAAAGAGGACAAGCAGTCAAAACCAAACCTAAGTTTGAGGTTAGTCGGCCGAATTCCTTTATCCTGTTTAATGTATCCATGTACAGAGACAGTTTGCTTGAGGAGAAGGCCCTGTTTGATCAGGAACAGTGGTCTAATTTATGCAATAGATTAGATCTGAACATCAACTCAGCAAAATTGTGCGGGTTGTACAGGGGTGTCCAGACACTTCAGGTTAAGCCACTCTCATTTAGGTTTACTTGGGGCTCTACCAAGGAGACTGAGAAGATATTATTGCTGACACAAATACTAGCCATATGTAGGAGCGCAAACTTAAGAACAAGACCTGATAGTCCATAGGCACACAGGCGAATGGGGAGGGAGTCACTGGAACTGACGCCTTCTACCTTTATGGTCATACACGGTGTTTCAGAGCTGGAAACTGGCACTGCTTGTGAAAAACACATGTGTGACTCATGGCAATGGGGAAGGCTGTGATCCCAGATGGCCCTTAATGCTTCTGGAGAAGTCTCAATTTTCCGGCTACATCGTCCTGCTCTCCTCACACCGATTAGCTCCACAAGGCTGCTTAGTGTAAGATTCAACTCCTAGGAACAGTTCCTCTGGTCCTTCAATGGTGGTACGAGACCAATGGCAGAATAAACTTGTAGCATAAATGCATAAAAAGACATAGTAGAAACGATTTTTTGTTCATCAAATTACAATGTACAACGAATATAAACAAATATTTTCAGATCCACGTACTTTTTCTTTGTCCTCTGGTACATTTCTGTTGTATTTACTTTGTAGTACAAGTTGCATTGATCTACATTCCGACTGAAGCTGAGAAACAATTGAAGTCACTTACTCATATATTATCCCTCAAGGTTTGGCTAGTAATGGCTCAGCATCCTTGAAGAAATCCACTGTCACCATAACAAGACGCCGTACAGCATCTTATACAAGCACTGTCAACGATCTAAAATGGTTTTTATATAGCTTTCTACGTGTTTATCAACTTACTCGTACAGAGCAACCATGCAGTGACAAATGGCGGGCGATGGGTGACTTGAGTGCAGTAAAACAAATCTGCTTGAAATTGACCAATATTAATCTGCATTCAGTTGAACTCACATCTGGTATTACTTGCAAAAAAATGATGTCAAAATCATACAAATTAATCACTCATTTTAAATTAATACCCAATTTGAACATAAAACAAGAACAAGATACCATACCGCACACAACAAAGGAATTGACTTCAAGCTTTATTTTTTCCCAAATATTTGTAATTTATCCGACACATACTTGGCTTTTTTTGTTAATGCGAAGACAGTATTTCTATATTTCTTTATGTGCTCCATTGAACGACTAACTATCAGAATGTGCTCACTAACTGATGTCAGAGAGGAGAGCAACCATGTAATTTCACTACAAATCAAATTCATGTAATAATACTTATCCATGCCTGTACAACTGGTGTGTCCTACATTGATAGGAAAATATATATTATTATTATGAGGGGCACATCCGATGCTTCGAAAGTCAATCTCTGACCCTAAGGGGGCAGCAGAACTAGTTCACAATACTTTTTCACGCCTCAGTTACACTACGGTTATAAACAGAGCCACCCAAGAGCTCTAAATGAATCCAAGGAAAAGATGACAACGAGCGGTTCCATTGAAATCGGCTAACTAGTCCCAATATTAAGTCCCCTACCAGCAGACAACGTAACGTTAACTAACACACAGCGCGCTGAGGTTGTGAGACTCACTGCCAGTTGTCTTTATAGCGATGTGAGGGGCCTGGGAGCGAAAGCAGGCGAATTCAGAAACCTTCAGTCACACCTACACCTTAAAATAATCATTCTTACTAAAACCTGGCTAACCCCTTATGGCCGACAATGAAGTCGGCATAAGTGATATGGTGCTAGTCAGGAGAGACAGCGATAATAAGGAAGGGGTGAGTTGTCATATGCTTTGACAAGCAACTTAAATGCGTACGTGCAACAACCCCACCACTTACTGAGCTCCCAGAATCCATATGGTGCCAGTTCACCGTAGGCCATACCAAGCACTTAATGGGTAGCATCTGCCGACCACCCACCTGTAGGGCAGAACATAAACAGCTACTGCACCATCACAGATATGCGACCGAATCACCATAGCTGGAGGCCTTAATGCTCCATCCATTAACCTTGGCTGGGGATATGCTAAGGGAAAATTCTGTCGAAATCTACTGCAAACTTTCGGAAATACAGGACTGAATCAGAATGTTGAGGACGACATTAGGTGGGGCTCTAGTGTAAAGTCGTCAGAACTTGATTAAATGCTAATTTGTGACGGGTTGCTAATCGAAAACATCTAAATCGTGACCCCCAGAGAGTAGTGACCACGCAGTGACCGTATTTGATCTCGTTCTTTGTGAGCGCTTAAAGCAAGATGCTACGCCACCCTGTCTATGCTATAGCAGGGCCAACAATGCTGAAATGAGAAGGCTTTTGCCCAACGCAAAGTGGCCCGAAGACCTGGCGGAGTTATCTGTAGAAGTAAACTGAGGAGTGCTAAAAGTGATTATTCACACAGCAATCTCATTTGCCGTCCCCTTAGTCACATCTCACCTGAAGAAACGACCTTCACTGCTGAAGAGAGGCAAGCAGTGTATTCTGGGAGCAGAGCGGAGGGCATGATTGACATGGCAAATCCCTAAGAGACAAAATGTCGATGGCGCATTCCTGGGACTCAGGAACCGACGCAACACAATGATTCAGGAGCGAAGGGAGGTAATTTCAGAAATTTCCTGGAAAATCCTAATCGCCTGAAACGATTAACATAGGAGAGAAAACCAACCAACCAGGGGGCATGCACATTAGTAGGTCCAAATGGTCAACATATCAATAGTTTGGAAATAACTGTAACATTCAGTTCAGCCCTTGAAAAACAGTTAAACAGCAATGCGGGTTTAACCGTTATAGGCCAGAAAGGCGGCACTGCTAATTCACAGGAGGATTAGCCTATGGCTACTCTCCAAGTAAACCAGGCAGTGTCACCGGGGAAGTTACAGAGACTCGTATCTAGAAAAACATCGGCTTGGCATGATATTCGGCATCTGTCCAAAACAGTGAGGTGAAGAGGTCGGTTGAGTCCTATCATCTTGGCACAATTCGTCATCAGGAGTATCGCAGGGTTCTATCCTAGGGCTACCGATGTTGCTGATTTTTATCAATGACCTACCATGCCGTCCAAGCTGCCCGACTCTTCTGTACGCTGACGAGATGTGGAGAGCAATAAAGTGTTCGGAAGACTCAGTGGGCTGCAGGCAGGTCTAAAGCTTCTAGAAGGCTGGACAATAGTCAGTGGTATGACTTTCAGACTGAAAAACTGCAGTGTAGTGCAACTACGCATCTGTAGACTGCGAAATGTAAGATACACCATGTGCAACTAAAACGTGTCCTGCACAACGTCGGGGCGCGACTTCGGTCTAACAGAAAAAGTCAACACAATCGGTGTGGCGAGGGCACGTGTAGCTAAACTTTCTGCCCGAAAACAGTTTAGTGCGTTCGCCCCTGAGCTCTTTCTAAGGTTATACAAAACATACGTCAGACCACACATTAAGGTGCAAAATATCAGTGACCCTCAACTGCTTAGAAGAGACCCTAGCCTTTTGGAAAGTGTGAATAGACGGGCGACAGAGGGGTGATGGGTCCTCGAAATAAGTCATATGGTGAATGGCTGAAGAAACTTCACATTTAGCTACCGTCAGCTTGGGAGGGCATTAATTATCGCCTTTAGGATTATAAATGACCGGAATCACCAAAACAAGGTTTTCTGCCATCAGGTACGTATGGGCTTCCTCGTGGAAGTCCGAGAAGGATAGATCACCAGGGGGTAGATACTAGAGTGCGCTTCCACTTCTTTTCACTGTAAATTTGCCTGGTGCTCGTAACTGGTAGATGAAACCACGACAGCTTTAAGCGAAGGCTGGACAACCATGCAGCTACACGAGGACTGCGTCTAAATGGCCTATCCCCTTGAAATCACATATACCATTCGTGGGTAGACGTCTAAATTTGTCGGTTAACTTCTTTACATTCTCTCCTGTCTTACTCTCCTGACTACTCCAACTACTGCACCTACACTTATTATAATCATTATTATTGATATTACATGCATATACATATATTGTATGTATATATATCAAATTCAAACTAAGTTAGCTGTCTGTTTTTTCGTTTTTCTTTATTTCTTTTTCTGTCTTTTAGTCTGAATAACCTACACTAGTTATATCTGTTATTATTATCTCTTTTCTTTTGACGACGATACGGGAGGACTAAATGGTGAAAGGATCAACTCCATTCACAGTAGAAAAAAAGACCTAACGCACCGCATAACACAAAAAACATAATTATCCCAGCACCACTCCTTTTGGAGTCAACCAAAACTACGACAGTCGAGTGGCAGGACGAACTACACAGAAGTTTACCGAAGACCAAGAACCCTTACCTCACAAGCAAGAAGCCAGCAAAAGAAATAAAAATGGTTTATACTAGCTTGCAGAAACGATATTGGATATTGGAATAAGATTTTCGGTTGAGAAAACCGAAGCTAATAACAAAGTCCAATGGTGTCTAGATATTTTATCAGCACTTGTTGCTTTTACTACATTTGTGTGTAGTTGAGGAAACAGTTTTGGATCATGCCTTCATTTCGAATTTCAAATGACCTTGGGATTTGGAATAATTTGTGAGTAGTTCTCCTGCTGGGGTTTCTGTTATTTGATGTGTGGATAAATTTTTATATTTGAACCATAAATGTTTATGTATTGTAGTGATTCTAAAGAAGAAAATGAGGAATGGTTTTAACATCTGATTAAAATTAATTAAATATCACCCAAGCATTTCCACATATATTCGTAGTTTTCTAGCGCTGTAGCGTATTGAGTAACTCGCAATTTGGTAAATGTGTTTAGATTGGAATATTGCATTATTTAGATGGTAAGCTGAAGATACTACTCACTATATATTTCAGTATTGCCCGCTATCAATATAATATATTAATGCACATATGTGTAAAACTTGGGCACCGTGTTAATATATAGTTCCATGTTAATTTGTTTCATTGTGTGATATATCTAATAAGCAAATTAATATGGAAGTGCCTGCCATCGATATGTGAACAGTAAAATATATGCACTCTTTTTCCTTATTCATGTCTTCCGTGTTACTACAGCTCAGTTATACTTCCAGATCTGATGATAGATCTTCATGTAACTTACCGACATTTTAAAATGCAAGAGATTTCACATTTTTTGGGTGCATTTGTGTAACTACCCACTTAAGTGGGAAATAAAGTAAGATATTTCCATGTTGCAGATTCCTGTATCTACTGGGCTATATGTCACTCACGGTGCAAGGTTTTCCCATTTTGTTTATTGAACTGCAGTCAAAGGAATGGTGTATGTGTGAACGCACTGCAGTGGGGTCCAACCATGTTTGGAAATGAAGTGCTAACGTTAATGGACAACACATCCCTTGTAAGAATCGATAATCGCACTACAGATTAGAATATGTATGACTATAGAGTCCTAGCAATAAACTGTCAACTCATCACTTTTGGTACCCAAAAGAAGACTTGTTTGTTTGAACAAAGACTTTCAGATTTATTGGTTGAGGATAGAAGGCTTGGACCTTATGTTAATCCTTTTCTAGTAAATTTCTGTGGTTGTCCAAACCCTTCTTGAACGAATCAGTTGAGGTCGCAGACACCACTTCTTCTGGGAGTTGGTTCCAAGAGGTTATGACTCGGTGTGAGAACCAGTACTCAACAGCAATTTGATTTCTTCTTGGCTTTTGAACTCTCCTGCTATGTCCTCTAAGGTGTTTCGACCTCGTGGGAAGGAAAAGAGAGAACAGGTCAGATCCGTAGTCATCATTTAACATTTTAAACATTGCGATTAAATCTACTCTGTGTCTACGGTATGACAGGGAGAAGAGATTTAAACTGTCTAGTCTTTCCTCGTATGATAAGTTAGTCATGTCGTGAACCATACGTGTTGCCTTCCTTTGAACCCTTTCTAGAATGTGTGAGCCCCCTTTTACACAAGGACTGGCGGCCTGGATGCAGTTTTTCAGTCTTGGTCTCACCAGAGATGTATATAAGGAAGAAAACATCTCTGATGATTCTAGCAAAGGCTCTGCGAATCGCCCATAAGGACCTGAAACTACGTGCAGCCACCGCGCGACAGTGTGTTGTAGTTTTTAAGTCGTGGCTAACTATGACACCAAAGTCCAAGTGAGTATAAACTGATGGAAATGTTATTCCCTCTAGTTCGTAGGAGCTCGTGCTTGCTTGTCCAATGCGCATGGCTGCACATTTTGCCACATTGATCGGGAGCATCCATTTTATGGACGAGAACCGGTGCTTTCAACGTGGTATGGTCGCCGACCGAAAGCTCCTACCTTGACGTGGTGGTCGGGCTTGAACACTGCAATGACCCAACAAGCTATACTGGCTGGAACTTATGTTCCTGCAGGTCCTACCATGCCAGAAAGGTTGTTTGGATAGCGGTTAGACAAAAAGCAGTTACCCAATCCAATCCTATGACTCCAAATAAATCACAAAATATCATGCCGGATCGGTCGGGGCCCGGATTAACAACGACCGCGCTTCCTGCTGCCGTGTCACAGGGCAAAAGTGATAAATACGCTACTGAGACACACCAAATGAAAAACAAACAAAAACAGGCCGTGTGTGGCCGGCCTCAAGCAGTTGTCCCCTGGGCTCTGCGGTCACGCAACCAACTTCCACGGTGTGGGCAGCCGGGAAGTAACAATCGCCCTCACAATCCGAAAAGACGGGTGAACAACTTTGTTTCCGAATACAATGCATCAGTAAAGGTGATTGACACTTCAATAATGATATAATGCAGTTGAATCTATGGACCACTCTGACAATTTGTTAAGGTCCTCTTGCAACGTGGACGTATCACTGTTGCTCTTCAGCTCTCTCCAAATTTTTAAGTCATCTGCGTATAGGACCATGGGGGAGTCGGTGAGCAGAGATAACTCATTGATATACAGAATAAATAGGAGAGATCCGAGTACCGTGCCTTGTGGCACTCCGCTACGTACTGCTGTCCAGGAGGGGAGTTTCGAGTTGATCCTAATCCTCTACTTCCTATCTATGAGGAATTCCCTAAGCCAGTTTAGCAATCTGCCTTTGATACCAACTTCATGAGTAGTCTTTTGTGAGGTACTTTATAAAAGGCTTTGCTGGAGTCTATGAAGACGACGTCAACGGGTCTTCTGTTGTCCCTTGATTTGACCCAGCTTTCTCTTGCAGTGAGATTTGACAGACATGAGAGGTTCCTTTGGAACTCATAGACTGCTGGGCTTGTGATTACGGCTTCCTAATAGTGTAGCTGTATGGAAATAATTTCTTGGAGAGTCTAACTTAACTTTTTATCATCTTTGCAATTTATAAATTAGAAAGAGACTAGTAGGGTTATGGAAAGTCATTATACTTACAAGTATAGACTGTAGGCTTAGTATGTAAAAGACAACCTTTTCACTGTCTTGCATTTCGTATTACTTCGATTCTTTATCTTTGACTATTCTATCGGCGTAACGCATGTAATGTTTTGGACTTAGAAACTTATTTTTCACAAATGAAACGTGTGGGCAGACTTGGAGCCAGGTGAAGACTCTAGCAGAGAACCGAACGCAATGGAGACGCACGGCTGAAGCCCTATGTTCCTCTAGGAATTAAAGGGAACAATAATAATTGTTATTATTTAAGTTTCGTTCTTCGTCACCTCATCTAGTCTAGATCAAACGTGTGTCGGGCATCTCGAAGACTACAATCTAAGGTGTTCAGAAAAGCCTATGTGGAACTTATTAACAACTCAAAAATGGTACATATTTTGTTTCCTGACAACTTAAGACATACAGAGTACTTTTATCGTATATGGTGTGTTCCAACTAGATACGAATTACATTTGTAAGGTCGATATAAACTTGTACTTATGCAAACGCTTGAATGTGAACTTCCTGGAAGATTTGGGAAGTGAATTTATAGTAGACAAGAAATTCGTATGATTTGTAAGCTTTATAATCAGAATCTCTGTACATGCAGTATTTCTTAACACCTATAATACCTGATCTTATGTTTATTTGTCACTGAATTCAGAATGTTTCTCGTATTAAATGGTAGTCATATGTAAGCAGTGAAATGTATTTGTGTATGTTAAGACTTATTCGATGGACCATATTATTTGTACTTTTCGTGCATATGACCCTAACATATGTGATACAGAACATTGCTCTTCAACGTTAGGAAAAGCTAAAACAGTGTTTTAGGATGAATAATTTATCACCTGAATGGGATCGCAGCTGTTGACATACCTCACTGTACTAACATCTTATTTCGATCGCTTAGAATGTGAAGTTGATGGAAATTTGTTCAAGGTTCGTTTTCCCATCAGATCTATGATGTTACGTGGAGCAGCATGGTCAGTAATTGTAAGGTCAAGGTTGGACTTTTAGGAAGAAAAATCAATCAGTGAGGTTGTGAAGCTGTATCGAGTAAAATATCTAGGACGTATTATGCATACCAAGCCACCAGCTCTGCCGACGAATGGTGTTTGCTAAAGATTCACGCGCAATCAAACCAAAGCATTACATCAATCTATGAATTCTTTGGTTATTGATTTGAGCCACGTTGAGTAGTGTAGGTTATCTGACTGGAATCCTTGAGATACTAGACATCAATGGTGGAGATTGTCGGTAATATGGTTGAAGTGTGTTCTCAGTAGTACAGAAGCACTTACTCTTCATGAACTTCTAGAACCATCAGACCCTCATTGTCCTTCGTGTATTCTTCCACCCATTTTCTTCTATTGTAGTTCTCATGGGTTTTCATTCTCCATCTTTCTATGCACCTTTATGAAGTGTATCAACTTGAACTGCTGCATATTTGTGCGAATTTCCAAGTTGATAAGTCAAGTTTATTCTTTTCCTTTTCATGAATAATAAGATGTAACCTTAATTGAGAAACACTGAGAGGTATTCCTTCTTTTCTGTTCTTAGTTACTGTCGTATGCACTTCTTGTTTTCAAATTTGCTTAAGTTTTAGGTATTTCTTGTAGTGAAATGTATTCTCCATGGTCGTTGTACTGGTTTTTGAGTCTTTGTGTAATTGACAACAGTACAGCTGTTTCTAAATTCTCCACAGGCATTACTAATTATTATTATTATTGTTCCCTTGGGTTCCGAGTTGAACATAGGGCTTCAACAGCATGTGTCTACCTTGTCCTGTTCTTTGTAGTCCTCTTCAGCTAGTCCCACGATTGCCCATAGTCTCTGACCTCCTACATATCGCCCTTGGACGCCCTATTCATCGTTTCCCATTTGACGCATTAATAATGAGCACTCAAATTTCCCTGTGTAAAATCATTCCTTTTTTTTACAATTGTTACTGCTTATATAATGTTTTAACCTATGCTATTACATTTGACTGTTTAGAATATTTCAACAATGAAGAAATAAATGGAGAATATGAGTCCATTAATAGGATTATGGGAAAAGCTACGAATGAAATTAGATCGTGTTACATCGAATCAAGCATCAACATCAGAAAATCATGAAACACAGTACAACACCAATGTGGATAGTGGAACAACAATACCTACTACTAATGGTACCAGTTCAAGTCCAGTAACTGTGAATGTCTATGATATGGTAAGAAAAAAATATTTCTGTACATTTAAATATTTAAAAAATCTGCATATCAATTTCAAATGGTGGTAACCTCGTCAGTTTTTTAAATTCATTTAGCTTAAAGAAACCGGAAAAGATAGCCAAATAATTATTATGAGTGCATTGCAGTAGTTTAAGTAACCGCTTCCTATATCTTCATGTAAAGTAAGAGGTAATAGCCAAGAAGACGAAATCTTCAGTGATCTTATTGCCACAGATAATTTAAAACGTGATATTAAAATTATGCTGTATGTATTTGCATCATTGCAAAAGAATACGTGTCCTATTACGTAAGGTCTCTAACTGTTAGTTTCACTTGACTCGTAGACCCTTATGGGAAGACCTACAGCCACACAACTCAGGCAGACAGTTAGTGACCTCGTGAACTAGATTGGCACCATGTCATGGTATGACCGAGCTAGTCCACCTCTGGCTGGCAACACTTTATCTTTCCTGTCTTACGTATGTGTACAAATCAGTTACTCATAACTTAGGATCAGTAAACATTGTTTCAAAAAAGAAATGCCGTTAGATCTAGTTCTGCTATTGCAGGCATTTATTCCTGTCACGAAGGAAAGAATTAACTAACTGATATAATCTAACCTCCAATTGGAGTGATTTTAGTTGTCTGAATAAATCAGAAGACATCTCTTAAAAATCTGTCGATATAACACGTGCCTGTTATTGATAGATTGAGTTCGATGATACCTGTGTTCAACAATAAGGTGTTCCTTCTGAATACCTTTGTGGTACTTTGAATACACTTCGCACCTACAGTTCTGACTATGAGAACTATCCGATTTCTTCATATCCCTTGGTTGTAAGTAGTGTTTTAATACATCAGAAAAAATATTCTTTTTCCGGTGCGTTGTCTTAGAATAGAATGAGTTCGCCTTACAATTAGCTACATTCTGTCTTTTTAGGGGAAAAAGGATGCACTAGCGAGAAAAATTTCATTTTCGTTAGATCGTTTCCAAAATAATAAACTATCGTAATCATGTTTAACATATATTCATGAGACCAATAAAATACTGATAATTATGTTAGAGAGAATCCTCCACAGAACCTGAGGTTTAATCATCTAGAAGCGAGTCCACAAAAGGAGGTTAAACGGAAGTTGGTACCAAGTAATAGGTTTGAGAAATGACCTGATCAGTCCCCTATGTACAGCGGATATACTTTCATCCACGAGAACAAGTAAACTAATGAATACACTTTGAAGGATTTTTCAAAGGGAGCTGAGTTTCCTGAGTTCACAGGATGTTTTGTGACCCAGAAATAAACACATCTGCCTCCCCCCCCCCTCACTGCTACCTAGGGTGCATAGTGCTCCTGGAAACGTTTTACAAGCGGATGCGTGGTACGGCTACTCTGCTTCGGAGTGAATGAACTGACGTATGCATGATAATAGGGCTCAATGCGATAGCTGGTTTTTCACATTATGGCCGATTTGTTTCTTGCAAGAAAATGTTGTTATTAGGTTACCAGTCAACTATGTCTTTCTCACAGAACCCGAACACCCTTTCCGGGGAATTTCCGCTTGATTATAAGTTTTAAATTGGAGGCTTAACAGTAGAATCATTTTGGAGGCAACTTGGACACATACAGTAGCTGCTTTTGCTCTCAGGCTCTTGTCCATGAGTCTGGATATGAAGTCACTTTCCATCAAGATTTTGTGGAGATTTTGTAGCTCTTCGTCAACTGATTCTTTAGTGCGTATTTTTCAAGTGCTAAGAAAGTAAAAATAAATGAGATTTCTCTTTCCTATTAGATTCGGACAAGATTTCGAAAATTAGTCAACTGTCCTATCCATTTATCTGTTTGGTGTGTACATCTCCTTAGAGGGTAATCATCTTTTCGCAGTTGGACGTCTAGAAAATCGAGTATCCAGTCCCATTCCACTTCTAGGATAAAGGTGATGTTTCGATGGGAATTGTTGAAAGTTCGTAGCATGTTTCCGAGGTCCGAATTCTGATAGCTAATAATAAAAGTACCATTGACGTATCACTTGTAGAGATAAAGCTCATTCATTGTTTATGGTATGACGATGTTTTCTAGGCTAGCCAAGAAAACAGTCAGCCAAGAACTAGTCCCAATGGAGAACCCATTGCCACACCATCTAGTCGCTCGTAGATTTCGTTATTAAGTCTGAGGTAAACTTTGAAAGTACACCGCAGTAATAGTTCTTTTAGATAATCAATCGGTATGCAGACATCAATATTTTTGGATTGAGTGAGGCCACATAAAGAAAACAGATAGTTGCTGTCAGTGAAACATTGGTGAAGAGAGGGACGATAACTAAGGATACCTAATTTCGTCTCCTCTACCAGTTTGGCTGCTCATGTGGGGCTGGTCACATTGGGGCAGGTTCATCATCGTATTTCCGAACATCATCTTGCATAGTTACTCAAGGGACAAACAAGATCTTTTCGTAGCTCTTTTTCAGAACACATTGTAGACAGTGCACGTAACTTTGATGCTAATAAAGCATTTGAAGGTATTTATCGCATTCCAACTAATATTCATTTTGCTTTACAAGTTCGTCTTTCACATACAGCTGAAGTCATCGGAATCCAACAGAATAAGCCAAACCAGTGTGATCAGAAGAAATTTGTGCCTCCACTTTCCTTACTTTGGTCACAGTTACATGAATGTAAAAAACTGATACTTTTGCCCCCTCCCCTGAGCCTTTTACAAGTTATCATTGTCCCAATTACTTTATTTTTCTGACTACTTCCTGTTTAAGTGCTTATTACTTCATCGACTTCAACACTCATTCATCGCTTGGTTACCCCTCTTATTTTTCCGCAACTGCACAATATGCCATCCAATTTTTTAAATCATTTTTGCCCTCTATTTGCTGCATTACCTTTCTTGTTAAGTTATCACACACCCTCCTGCATGTTGATACTGACTAATTATTCTTAACAAACTCATCGCCACTAGACCACTCTTTTATCTGCGAATTTGACATTCTTGATTAAATCAACAAGATCAAGTGTATCCCGGAGATTGTATCTCGACAGCTTCTCATTCACCGGTCTAAGAATCTTTACCAGCCACCTGTCGTTTGAGTGAGTAATAATCGGGAAATTATCATAGCTAATATTGGGCCGAGTGGAACGTCTACCTTGGGTGGGCGCCGTACATGCACGGGGTTGTAGGAAGAAGTCTTTCATATTGTTCCGTACTAACAAGTGATTCATCTTTCATTTCCTTCAATGTCTTAGTCCAAAGTCTTTTGATAAAATGACAATCCTTAACCGATAGGTTAATATTGTTTAAGATCGGTTGTCTGGTCGCATTATTACTGATATGACAACTGAATAGATACCAAATTTACAGTATAAAACATTGTGATTATTCTATTTCACCGGTTCTCATTTTAGCTGTTGTAAACTATCCTGAAATTGTAATGGTTATGAAAGAATGAAAATGTTGAAATAATGAAGAGCATTTTTATGAACTAGGGACTTCAAAATGGGGATATCATGACTTCCAGTTCAAGTTATCATCAATTTATGTGCATTGTGAAATAGAAAGTGGAAGGCGGAGAGATAAATCTGGAAAAAAATCATTATTCCTACTAGCGTATAAGACTAAGCAACAGTCCATACGACTAAAATATAAGCTCAGTCATTTGAAATCAATAATATAAGTGATTATGCTTTAGCGTCGTTCGATCTCATATGCACTCACCGAGGCTATATAAAACTGTTTACCCTTTCTCTGCATGCGTTAGTTAGGTTGAAAACGTCTTATTGCAACTCTCACAAATACTATAGTAAAATATTTAGATATTTCAACGAAATGTCTCGTGACCATCAAAATGTTCGGCATTGCACTTTGTAAATATCCCATTCTCTTAAAGGTATCTGCTCAGGAAATCACCTAAAGAAACCTTTCCTTCAGTCCTTCCAATGTGTATGCTACTGTTAGTGCATGTAAATTCATAAATTCAGTTGGTGGCGACATTCTCATATGTTGCAAAGCTGTTCTTACTTCAGCAAGGGAACCACACGTGTGAAATTCTTGCCTTATTATGATTCAATACAATACTGATGTTTTTGATAGGCCAAAAGTTATGTGATAACATGTAAAATGGTCGACTGATAAATACACGGGAGATGAAACCTTTACATAACTAGCGATAGATCTCATCTGAATGCTGATAAAAGAAAACTGAGAGATTTAAAAAAGTAATTAATACCTCGGCAAAGATTTCTTTTAGGCAACTTCACCCTGAAAAGCTGTACAATCACACTTTATACGTAGGTTCAATACTTACAATTATTGCTTCTTTCAACATAGTAATGAAGGGAGACTCAAGGATATAATAATTCTCAGCTTGGTATAAAGGTTTAGAGGTGTGAATACAGATAACAAAAGGCATTGCAACAAAAATACATAGGATTAGAAAATGCTTACGTAATATGTCAGATAGTTTTTCACAGAAACAGCTGTGAAAGGCATGGGCATGGAAACAAACTGAAATAATAGTTTTTATAACTAAAGATAGACCACTGGAGGGAACGAAAAAGATGACGACTAAGGAGTCAAACAGAACCATGTGTATGGTAAATGTAGACCTTTTAAAAAAATAACGCCACCATCTCTATGCTAATGGCGAGGGGTTCTCCAGTTCAAAGAAGTCGGAAACAAACCGATTTTAGTAGGTTTTTCACTTAATTTGAAAATGACTCTGAATGATAAATCACTTGAACTACTGTGATACTTGCTGACAAGGTGTTCAGTTACGGAATATCTGATTGAACCAGTGTCACTTCCTTGAAACGATGCTGGGTAGTGTTTCCTAACACACTTTCCTAAGATCCTAATACGACTTATGTGCCTAGCATCGCAGTAGAAGGTGCATTAACCTATTCACTTTCGAGTGATCACATGCAGGAGTTTCTCTTTCGAATTCCTTAGAAGCAGTGGATGACTAGAAAATGCCACTCTTAGCGTTGATGTTGTACAGG